CAATATCATGAGCAAATACGTAAGAACTCAATAAAATATTAGCAAAATAAATCCAGAAATATGGAAAAAAGTTTAATACACCACAACCTTAAACCCAACATCCACTTGAATGGAATGTATCCTTGAGAACAGTGTTTAAGATAAGGCAATCTATTCTAATATGTCCCAGAAATAGATCCAATAACAAGTCATATGATAGTTTGGAAAGAAGTTTAAATTATCTGGGCCCTTTGGTGTGCCTTTCTTCATCCTTCTCTGCTTGTTATTTTCAGTGGCTCTCAACTGAGGACCACGGCTCATAACAATGCTTTTGGCAGTGTGTGGAGAAGGTACCTTTTTTTCTTTTCTCCACTTTGCTTTTGGTTTCCCCATGTCTGGAGGACATTTTTGTATATACATAAAGGGAGACAGCCTCTGTGGTGTGTGTTGCATCCACACAATGAAAATGTATGCCACCCTTATGCCAGCAGCAGTCCCTTTGAAGTACCTTGATCTAAACACTCTCAGGGTGGAGTTGTTTTCACTCTTTACCTCCCAACTTCTCTTTCCAGCCCTGTGGCCTCTTTCCCGACACCTATCCATCCGGACATCTGCTGGGCATGTCTACACCGTCCTCCCAGGAACTTCTGGCAATTCTCGCTGCATAGTTTCAGGAAATGGCTCATGTGTCTTTAACTTCACTGCCCTCAATCTGGTCACACTTGGACAGAATCCTGGTTGTCTCTAGTATTCACAGTCTCTGTTCCACTTTCTTTATCATGTATATCTTTCCTGGCCTGGCTGTAGGATGTGGGCTCCCTGTGCTAGCATTCTGATTCCTTTATACATCGCAATGTATGATTATCTGATTCCTCATTTGTTTTATTATTTAAGGCTCTTTTTCTCCTTCACTACCCCTCACTATAGATTACAGACACCATGTCTCTTCTCATTCTAAGCCCAGGCATAATATCTGAAATGTAGTGTTAATAAATAGTTGGCAAAGGGACATGAAATGCAAGAAGTCAGTGTGTCTCACATGGATTCCTGTGAAAGGACCCCTAATATGCCTCTCTGTCTCTGCTTTGTCCATCCACTCCCAACTCCAGTCTTAACTCTGTCCCAGGTGACTCTTCCAAAGGTAATTGGGACTCTCGCAGTCTCTGAGTGCTGGCAGGCTGCTTTGCAGGGCCAAGCAGGACCAGAAGATCTCGTTTCATGGAGTACGGTGATCAGATGGGCAAGCACAAGCAGTGTCCCCTCAGGGAGGCTGAAGAGGATGAGGAGCCAGGGTAGGGTCCCCTCTCCCACACTCTCCCAACTTTGGAAAGCAGCACTGCTTGTACTTATTATTTTCTAACATAAAGGTCCCAACTGCCAAATAGTCTCAATGCCATGGGTCTCTTCCTGACTAAGCTACTTTTCTAAAATGCAATCATTTCGGGGACACGACAGACATTGCTCAATAATGTTTGCTGAACACATTAAAGTGAGTTATCTGTTTTAGTTCCTTGACCTGAAAGGCATTAGGGGCCCGTATAGGGACTCCAAGGTAGAGGTTGTTGCCTATGTGGACAGGAGAGAGCCAGAGGATTCACATTTCATCCAGGGCCTCTAAGCCCCTGCACTGAGAGTGTGTGCACAGCCCACCCGAGGCCCTGGGGTGACCCCCCTTCCTCTGTTCACTATGGAAACCAATGCCGGTACTGGCCTTTCCTCCTATTCCTGAGTCTGCCAAGAACAGCCTATTCCACAGCTGTGTAATCTGTTCCACATTACAGAGTTTGAAGTAACCCACCAGAAAAACTGTCTGCTCCAGAATATTTTAAGTTACAACTTCTCCATATACCTTTTGTATCCACAGAAATCCTATTTACAGAATCTTGCTTCAGTAAGTAGCTTCGCGTTTTTGCTGTTGAGTTGCTGGCCCTGAAAGGATTTAATGCCCATTTCAAGTAGAACTCAACCTGGATATACCCAGCAAGCCTAATTTATTACCAGTATTCTCAGGGCAACACTGGAGCTCCAGCCCCAAGTCTTGTCCCTTGGGTTCAAGCAGTTGTGGCTGCCTCATAATTAATGGTTTCCTAATTTTTCCCATAATGTCATTGGTCTTTTTCACTATCAGTCCGAAGGTTTGCATCTCTGGTTTATGGGTAGGCACTTTATTAGGTAGATATCAAGCTAGTGATCCTTCCCATTGCACATGTGTACTTAAAGGCTATCCCAGGCTTTATTTTGTCCCACCACCCCACCCAACTTAGCCCCCTCCCACCAATTTTCTTCTTGGTGGTTACAGAGCCTCTTCAACATATCTTTCTCTAGGAAGATGATGATGTCACTTTCACAGCTGTACAGCTAGACTCAAGGGTGAGCAGCACCAAGTTCTACTCTCTGCTTGGTTTCCAACTTGTGCATCAGTTTCAAGGTTTTAACCCCTCCAAGTGTCATCTCTCATGGTGGTCCTAATCCACTGGACATGGTACAGTATTAAATAACCCTCCAGTCTGAAGTGTGATGTGACGTGTGCTAAAGTAGAGGTGGTGTGCACGGTCTGCATGATGCTGGCAACTTCACTAGAATGAGGTCCAGGTAGGAATTCAGTTATCCAGTCTAGCCCAGGCTCTCTGGATCAGCTCTCTGGACAGAGCTCTAATACTACAAATTTGTGGAAGCCACGTTTTATTGTTGTCAGGTTCAAAGTTTGCACTTCGATTTTGTAAATTCATTTAATCTAGGAGGCTAAAATGTGATAATTTAATTTTGTCAAAAACCGTAGCCCATAGCCAAAGCTGAGCTGGGATTTAAATGATAGGTTCAAACATTTTCATTATTAAAAATGCATTAAATGAACTAAATATTTTATTTAAATAGGAAAGAATAAATATCCAAGTAGAATAAAGAAGAAGAAAATTGATCAAGATAAAAATGCAAGAAATTAGGATTACACTAAGAAGTATGGGACAATTAGCCAGGTTCAGATAGCACGCGCCTGTAATTCCAGCTACTTGGAAGACTGAGGTGGAAGGATCGCGGAGCCCAGCAGGTCGAGGCTGTGGTGGCCGGGAGCAGTCACTGCACTCCAGTCTGAGTGACGGAGTGAGACTCCAACTCAAAAAAAAAAAAAAAGAAGTATGGGACAATAAGTCACTTAAAAAGACATACATTCTTAAGAATGAATAAAAAAGGCACACTTCAGTTAGGTATACTCAAGAAAATGGTAGATATTTAAAAAGGGAAGGAGGAGAAGGAAGAAAAAAATTCTAAAAACTCCAACTAAGACGGATCTGAATTATATCTAGGAATTATCTTGGTGAGGGAGACATTAAGGTGTCCTGCTGGGAAGATGAGTGTGGGAACGGTCCTGCTAAAGGTGACACATGCACACAAACCCAGTAACAGAGAAAGAACAGAAAGACCTTCAAAATCAACCTACTTGAGAAATACTAAAGTGATAAATGAGAAAGGATATATACCCAAAGTGAGGACTCTGAACAATATTTTATATATGCTTTGGGCCTCAAATGAGACTCATTTAGGAAGTTGACCTGAGGAAACACAGGTGAAGGACCACATCAGCTAAGACCAGAGGTGCTGATCAGTCTCAGGATTCCTGATTTAGGCGGCTCCAACCATGACACTTTTTTCCCATAAACTGTCTCTAGGAGTGCCAAACTTTGTCTTTGCCCACTGTGGGTCTGTTTTCTGTTTCTTGAAAACCGCCCCCTAATATGTTGCATTTCCTATCTTTGGTTATCTGAGAGTGACGGACAGATACTACCTATGGGACCTGTGTTTAAAAAAGACAACTGGGGAAGCATTTGAGTATAACTCCAAAAGCGGGAGGAGCCAGTTGATTCCATAGAAGGTTTCATGAGAAGCTGAAGTTTCCACATGAACAGAGTGGAGGTAGCATCAAACATCAGGGAATGAGGATGCTGGACAAAGAGGGAGATAGACATCATCATACACGTTTGTGCTAATAAATATGCTAACTTTTGTATTATGGGGTCTTAAGTCAATTAAATTGGAATCCACGTGACCCAAGGCAAGCAGAAAACCGAAACCCGTGGCCATGAAGACACTAATATTGTAAGTCCAGTATCTCCAAAAGAGTTCACGCTTCACACGGATTGGTAGGAAGTTACCTTAACTACATTCCGCACTTCTCCCTCTCTGATTTAGAGGGGAGGGACTAGATCACTTTTCGTTGGTGCGTCTAAATTTCCACTTTCAGACACCCTCTTCCCAGTTCACACGTTTTACTGGACAATCCCGCCCGTTCGTCTCACTCGTCGTGTGAAATGGGAGCTTACACACCTCTATGAACCCACCTCCGGGAGTATTACATTTGACTCAACACACCCAGGTCCACATTTCCTGAGAAACTCGAACCCAACACCGCAGAGACTTCGGGTATCATCTCTCCCCCGGACCGTGTTCCCTCTCCAGTAGGCACCCAGCCCTCCCGCCGGGTCCACGACGCCCCTCGCTCTCG